AAAAAGCCAGGAAAGGCTTGTAAACAAAGCTCCGATTCTTCCACCCAGCATATTATATGTTGAAAGAACAAATGTGACCATCTCGCTGGGGGTGGATTGCTGGCCACTACCCTTCCCAGCAGAGGCGGGTGGAAGAAATGGTTCTTCCCCACCCGATAGGTTGGGGTCGTCAGATTGCAAAAACAAACCTCCTGGCCCGCCCGCCCTGCATACCACGGCCGCCAGATCCCCAGGCTCCCCATAATCCCTGGTGATCCCGCCCTCCCCCCCCGCCCTGCATACCGCAGCCGCCAGCTCCACAGGCTCCCTATAATCCCTTGTGGTCCCGCCCCCCGCGCCGACTCACCCACTCTGCTTACTGCGGCCGCCAGATCCCCAGGTCCCCCGATAATCCCTGAGGGTGCCGCCCCCCTCGCCGACTCGCCCACTCTGCATGCCGCGGCCGCCAGATCCCCAGGTCCCCCACAGAACAAAGCATAACACCACACCACCGAACAGAACATGTCCGAGCATAACATACCATAGCATGACAGACCATATCGTAACATAACACACCATGACAGAACAGTGCTTACTACAGTATAGCATCTCAGCACGTATCACTCAATAACATGACAAACCAAACATACCATAACAGATCAACGCTGAACTGAACATGTCCAAACAGTACATGGCACAGGATAGCATAACATGGCATAGCATATCATAGCACAACACAGTATGACAACGCTTGCTACAACATATCGGAGCATACATAGCATAACATAACATATAATAGCATCGCATGGCATAAAAAAACATCACATACATGACAGAACAAACCACAACATAACACATCATCACAGCACATGTCATTGCATACCATGGCAAAGCATAATATGACAGAGCGCGGCATACAGTATAGCATGGCAAAACAAAGCATAACATAACACCACAACCTATGACAGAATTGGTCACGCAGAACATAGCATAACACCGTACCGCACAACACAGCAAAACAGATCATAAGATCACACACCGTAACAGAATAATGAGCGCGCGCACCATCGGGATTAAACGCCGAAGTTGTCGGTGTGGATCGCTCGAAGAAAGATAATTTTTCTACCACGGCACGAAGCGGGCCATGCAACGCACTGTGGTGTCTCATGTATCAAGGCGGTGCCTACCGGCAGCAGTTCGCGTATTGAAAGATGCGCAAAAACGCGCCTGTGGATCCGTGCTGGCTGCACTACCTGTTCCTGTAGACGAGCCGCTTATGGACCGAACTATTCGGAATGAGAAGCACAGAATTCCAGTGGGAGTATCTACTTTGTTAGCTCTGTCGCAGATTGTGCAGTCCTGCTTCCCTGAACAAACACCTGCTCAGCGACAGGCCCCTACAAAAACACCATATGAATGTACAGGACAAGTTTGTGCTGGTTTGCTGAACGCCCAAGAACGTCGCAAGAACTACCTGCCCCCGCGCAGGCGCAGCACGAGGTGCAGCGTGGACTCTTTCTGGATGTTATAATCAGACAGCGTGCGCCCGTCCTCCAGCTGCTTCCCCGCGAAGATCAAGCGCTGCTGGTCCGGAGGGATGCCCTCCTTGTCCTGGATCTTCGCCTTCACGTTGTCAATTGTGTCAGAGGCTTCCACATCCAAGGTGATGGTCTTGCCCGTCAGCGTCTTCACGAAGATCTGCATGCCTCCGCGCAGGCGCAGCACGAGGTGCAGCGTGGACTCTTTCTGGATGTTATAATCAGACAGCGTGCGCCCGTCCTCCAGCTGCTTCCCCGCGAAGATCAAGCGCTGCTGGTCCGGAGGGATGCCCTCCTTGTCCTGGATCTTCGCCTTCACGTTGTCGATTGTGTCAGAGGCTTCCACATCCAGGGTGATGGTCTTGCCCGTCAGCGTCTTCACAAAGATCTGCATGCCTCCGCGCAGGCGCAGCAGCACGACAGCGTCCGCCCGCGGAGGGATGCCCTCCTTGTCCTGGATCTTCGCCTTCACGTTGTCAATTGTGTCAGAAGCTTCCACATCCAGGGTGATCGTCTTGCCCGTCAGCGTCTTCACGAAGATCTGCATGCCTCCGCGCAGGCGCAGCACGAGGTGCAGCGTGGACTCTTTCTGGATGTTATAATCAGACAGCGTGCGCCCGTCCTCCAGCTGCTTCCCCGCGAAGATCAAGCGCTGCTGGTCCGGAGGGATGCCCTCCTTGTCCTGGATCTTCGCCTTCACGTTGTCAATTGTGTCAGAGGCTTCCACATCCAGGGTGATGGTCTTGCCAGTCAGCGTCTTCACGAATATCTGCATGCCTCCACGCAGGCGCAGCACGAGGTGCAGCGTGGACTCTTTCTGGATGTTATAATCAGACAGCGTGCGCCCGTCCTCCAGCTGCTTCCCCGCGAAGATCAAACGCTGCTGGTCCGGAGGGATGCCCTCCTTGTCCTGGATCTTCGCCTTCACGTTGTCAATCGTGTCAGAGGCTTCCACATCCAGGGTGATGGTCTTGCCCGTCAGCGTCTTCACGAAGATCTGCATGCCTCCGCGCAGGCGCAGCACGAGGTGCAGCGTCGACTCTTTCTGGATGTTATAATCAGACAGCGTCCGCCCGTCCTCCAGCTGCTTCCCCGCGAAGATCAAGCGCTGCTGGTCTGGAGGGATGCCCTCCTTGTCCTGGATCTTCGCCTTCACGTTGTCAATTGTGTCAGAGGCTTCCACATCCAGGGTGATCGTCTTGCCCGTCAGCGTCTTCACGAAGATCTGCATGCCTCCGCGCAGGCGCAGCACGAGGTGCAGCGTGGACTCTTTCTGGATGTTATAATCAGACAGCGTGCGCCCGTCCTCCAGCTGCTTCCCCGCGAAGATCAAGCGCTGCTGGTCCGGAGGGATGCCCTCCTTGTCCTGGATCTTCGCCTTCACGTTATCGATCGTGTCAGAGGCTTCCACATCCAGGGTGATGGTTTTGCCCGTCAGCGTCTTCACGAAGATCTGCATGGTGCCTTGATATCGAATTGAGCAAGGATGTGAGATCGACTACGATTGTAAATCTCAAACGACCTTGAGCCAAAATGACTATGGTGGCGGGCCGAAGAAATGATGACCTTCCAAATCATATGCAAACCCGCGAAACCCTCAGCCTCATCGAGTTACTCCACGAAGGCCTATCAAGTGACAGACCATGGACGCACGCTTTTGCCCGCGGTGCGACCCCGCTCGGCTCTTCATAGATCCAAAGGGTAGCAGCAATTGTTGTCTTCTGCCTCAATATTCATCATCTCTGCAAGATGTTCCGATGACATATCATGTTCAGTGGGCTTGGCGGATGGCATGGGAAGAAAGGATACCACCGCTGAGCTAGCAATAGGGTATCCACCATGAAAGGAGGAAGCCAGCCCGCCGGCCGACGCACGCGCGCGCGCCACAGGCTCGCTCCCTTTCTGTTTCCCTAGAGCCAAACAGCCTCAGGCAACATGCAAGTCACAAGCAGCACAATACATGGCAGCGCAAAGAAGTGGAGGCAACGGGCGGCAGAGTGGTGGCGCGGAAGGAGTGCATTGACTCCCCCCGCGGGGAGATGCGCAGGGTCGCCCCGACCCCAACCCACCTGGCCTCTACATATGCACAGCTACAGGAACGAACACCAAAAAACACTTTTACGCTCGCCTTTGGGTGCCAGGGGGCGGAAGACCGAAACAACCCGACGAACCCCGCCAGAGCAAATATTTTGTCAACTCAGGCCTCAATGCCCATGCATACCTGGTGCACCCGCCTCAGGATGAACGTCGGACCAGTATCGACGAAGTCGTACAGGTCCTTCATGCACTGTATTTTCTCTGCCAATCACTTCTCCAATTTCGGGGATCATCCAAGGCGTCGTTGTTGCGCCAGTTCCACTGGGACTGACCCCTCGAACGATCTTCACCTTCTGCTTGTATTCCAGCTGTCTGACATGTCCTTGCCCTGGCCCTTGTCTGCTGGCCTCGCCTTCTGCGTAGGTGGCGGCGGAGGCTCCGGCAAGGTACTAACACGATGAAATTCGTCATTGTACTCGTTCAAACTAAACCGCTGCCAAGTTTTGGCATGATTTGCGATATGCTGATGGCGAGTCACATGGACATAATATCATTGAACTTCCCCGTTCTCGTTCTTGTCGGCGTGGCCCCGACGCGTCGCGTCCCAGCCGCCATCGCTCACGCGGCCGTCTACTTCGGCAATGGTTTCGTCAGCCCATGCGCGATCTCCATCGACCCAGCCGGTATCACTGCCCGACGCAGCTGAGCCGGTGGGCACCGGGTTGTAAGGGGCAGCCCTATAGGTCTGCCTCCCTGTCCAATTCGTCCGTGGTCTCGAGCTCTCGGCCCCGAGCCGGCAGAGCCGGTCGGGGCTTTGGCCTCCACCACCGCAGTCGTAGCATTCGCGGTGGACCGTGGAGCCTGCGTGGGAGAGACAGCTGAGCCGCTCTCCTGCTTTGGCTTTTTGAGACATTGAATAATATCGGCACTGAAGAACACAAAACGGCCGTTTGACACACGGACCCCGGCATTGAACGGAGTGCTTGTCGACGTTTGTATGAACAAAGTAGCGTTCTGAATACTATGCTGTTTTGTCTGCCAGTCACCGAAACATCATTGCCTAATCCACTGGTCATGGAATAGGTCGAATGGTTCATCGCGGACCTAATGCGACAGTCCACGGCACATGCATCACACATCGCTTCGCGGGCGAGGTCTACAAAATTAGAAGTTCGCTGCACTCTGCACCCTGGAAATGCCACGCAAAATCCCGAAAACGGGAATACATATATGACGTCTCGCACGGCCAGCAGCATCCGCCCCCGTCGCTTATTGGTGGGGATTTGGTCTAAGGGTTCGCCCCATATTCTTTCAACGAGCTCAAACAGTTCACGCGGCACATCATGAATCACGTCAGTGTCCAATGACGCCGAGACCGCGGACGTAGCCAAGTATTCAAAAATGAATTGCGCTGCAACTTTGGTAGTTCCTTGCCGATCATATCCTTCAACATTGCTCCTCGAATATAACCAACAGCCATAAAAGCCAAAACGGCAGCGCTCGTGTCGGATGACTTATCTCGTGACGCTGAACTATGTTATCGTCTGTTACGCCTCTCGGCGCCTGGGCGCTCTCTTCCCGGGGTGCCATGGCCTCATCTGGACGGCTGGGCCGTTGGCGATGTTCAGCACTTACCCGATATGGAGATATCAATGGCTTGATTCAAAGTATCCGTTAGTACTTGAAGTGATGGAATGGTTACTCCCGATTCTTCCCGTCGTCGCCCCCGTTGGCCCCGCCCTTCTGGGCTGATTCGATCAGCATTTACGCGCGACCAATCGAAAACCTCAAGGGCAGAGCATCGAAACCGGCGAGCGCATTGGTCTACATCTGGCGTCCAAATCAACGGCCACCAATTTGCAGCGGTCGGGGGATATCCCCCTGTCTTCTCGGCCCCGTGCTTCAACCAATTTATAAGTCGCAGCTTTTATGGTTCGAGATACTGGAAGCATGGCTCACGACGCGCCGGCGGCAGAGCCGCGGCGCGGTCAGGACCCCAGGCCGGGACAGTCCCGGGCTGTCCGCTTGAAAAAGTTTGCCCCGCCGCAGCACGCCTAAGACGAGCATCCTCAATGTTGACCCATGTCCGCTGGTGTTGTTCCGCTTTGTTCAAGTTGTCCATCGCGTCGGCAGAGCTCTTGCTCATCGCACCCAATCAATTGGAGATAATATTGGAACCGCTTCCCCCTCTCCGGGGGCTGCGCACACACGGGCTCAGTCCCAGGTTCGTCCACGCAGCAAGCAATGCATCTCTGCCGGGCGGGAATCCGCCGGCCCCCATGTGGGGCCACCAGGCTGCGAGGCGCGGGTTCGCAGTTTCCAATACCAGTTGTAGCTTGTAGTTTCCAGTGTTACAGTTCTGCTTCTTGCTGGTTACTGCAACTAGTTGATTGACCGCGCGAGGGGGGGGAGGCCCAAACAGGATTTACAGCACCGCCTGGGCGCGTTGTCTGAATTGCTGGGGGGGCTCGAAATCATCACCCCTCACGCAGATCCGCGGGGTCAGGGTCCAAAAACACAAGGGATTTGCCACATTTCTGAAATTCGGTGCCACTCCTCACGCAGATCCGCGGGGCCAGGATCCAAAAACACAAGGGATTTGCCACATTTCTGAAATTCGGTACCACTTCACACGCAGATCCACGGGGTCAGGGTCCAAAAACACATGGGATTTGCTACATTTCTGAAATTCGGTGCCACCTCACACGCAGATCCACGGGGTCAGGGTCCAAAAACACATAAGATTTGCCACATCTCTGAAATTCGGTGCCACCCCTCACGCAGATCCGCGGGGTCAGGGTCCAAAAACACAAGGGATTTGCCACATGCTTGAAATTCGAAGCCACCCCTCACGCAGATCCGCGGGGCCAGGGTCCAAAAACACATGGGATTTGCCACATTTCTGAAATTCGGTGCAACCCCTCACGCAGATCCGCGGAGTCAGGGTCCAAAAACACAAGGGATTTGCCGCATTTCTGAAATCCGATGCCACCCCTCACGCAGATCCGCGGGGTCAGGGTCCAAAAACAAGAGGGATTTGCTACATTTCTGAAATTCGGCGCCACCCCTTACGCAGATCCGCGGGGTCAGGGCCCAAAAACACAAGGGATTTGGCACATTTCTGAAATTCGGTGCCACCCTTCACGCACATCCATCGCAAGGCGTGGTAACCCAAACTGCGAGAGACCCCTCGGCCCTTTAATCGCAAGGTGTGGTAACCAAGCCCGTAAGCCATACACGTCTTACCAATCGCCAGGTGTGGCAACCCCTCTTGTGATCAGTTGGTTTTGCTGATTGCGAATCGGCTTCGCATGAAGTTTCGATCCTGCTTCACGACAGCGCCAAGGCCTCATGACTTAGCTCTTCCATGGCCCGTTCTCCGAGAGAGGGGGCCGGCGGCAGGGGGCGAAGCCCTTACGGATAAGTAGTCCTTTCGAACGATATATCTATATTGAACTGGAGTTAGGCATTGCAGACAACATCCAAAACCAGTTCCCACTGCATGGAAATTTTGACAGATGAACCCCCCATCGTCTGACCACGGCTTGTGCATTACGCGAGCTAGATTTCCATCAGATATTCTACCATTAGCAACGATCTTTATATATCTGACCGAGAATATCCACGTCATGGTCGTACTATGTGATAAGATCACCTCATATGCAGTCCATCCACTCTTGAGAAAAGACAATTGTCAAAGCGATTTGCCGGTCGTGTCGTGCGACGCCTTCAATCGGTGACAGCTGTACAATACGGGATATGTCATTAAAACGTGCTTGCTGCGTTGTCACAAGAGTGCCATCACGACAGATGCGATACGAAGGCGGGTCACTAAACGCCCCTTGAAGACGACAAGACACTGCCAGTTCGCATTATGCGTCGTGGCGAGCTCCCAAAGAGATGGGGTAATCCCATGAGGCCAAGCTCCTTGAGCGGGAGGTCCGCTCCCAGATGGGGCAGCACCCGGGCTCTGATATGTTTTGACAGATGGAGCATCTCCACCCCTCCGCTGACGGAGCCAGCGAGGGATGCGCTCAGCGTTTTCATTGGGAAGGTCACGCCTCGTAGGAATCAATCTAAGAAGTCCGTAATCCGGTGCTCTGCAAAAACCACTGAGCTCGTCGGGATATCGGATTACCCCTGAGTCTATCATTGACTCATTCATGGCTTCCATACTTCTTCCATGCAACAAGCGTCCATGGCATTGTGCCGTTCCAAATTTGCACAGGGCACACATGCGTTCTATGATGTGGGCAAAACAAGAGTGTCCGTGACATGCGCGACATATGACCGGGATGAGCCTACAAGCACGGTCGGCTCGGTTGATAGAAACAACTACATTCCCAATTTCCTCATCAACGACTGCGTCACGTGAGACATCCAGGTTCTGAAACTGGTCCCACTACTCCATCGGCGCCGTCT